AAAAAACAATAGATTTTAAGGGTGTTACTTGAATACAAGAGAGCATCAAAAACAGAACTTGGATGTATTTTTTAGGTATTTTAGGTCTGTGGAACGCGTCAGAAGGTCCATATAGCAGAAAACACGAACTTTTCGTGGGAATAGGTGCTGTTAATGCAAATATATCCAGTGTGAACTCTGAATGAATAAGTACAGGATCGTAGGATACTACTTCAATGAGAGCGAGTAGCCCAGGTGGACATGATTTTGCAATCGTCTGTTGTTAATTCAGACAGATAAGTACAAGGAAACATATCAAAAGGAATAATTTTTCAAAAAAAGCGCATTATCGAGAAATATCTGTACTGTCTTTTTTTCAAAATAAAACAACCATTACAGGCCCATGCATACTGAGTCGATTATAAGAGGTTCTAAGCAATAATTCAGACTACAAGTAGGAAAATACTACAGCATTACACGGACACCATCTAGGCCGCTGAATTTGGGAATATAAAAGAATATACCCCGTTTTTAAATAAAAATGGTACCCACTGAAAACGCTGCCTAATTTTCCTACTGTACAGGATTCTAATTTCAAAAACAACTACATGAAAGGACTCAGAAAGCAGATAACGCAAATGGACAAGCATGCAGTATATAAGGGAAAAGTAGATTTGTTATGTAAGGAATTTCAATGAGCACTTTGCAGTCAGCGCCATTGTATAGCCTTTTTAGTTTGGAGTATTAATACAGCTGTCGGGCTAGCGTACATAGTCAGACGTGTACAGTCTTGTTTAAAACCTTGGCCTCAAAAAATGCCTAATAATAAATAATAATGAACTATCAAAAAGCAACAACAGCGGAAAAGTGTAGTGGTCCCACAACCTATGTTATCGGGTAAACATTAAAACCGAAAATGGGCGCGAAGGATAATCTATAATAAACATATCCTATCTAAATCACTGACAGGTGATGATTATTAAACGAACAATATTCAAAGGGTTAATGTTTAGGTTAAAAATCGTAATTTTCCCAAAGAACTTGAAGTTCATCCATCCAGAGGACACTAAATGCGTCACATCAAGAAAATTAACCCTAGGTTACTCTTCATTGAATTATATTAAACAGTATCAACGACATATTTTACTTAAGTACTCCGATGAGCGAATAATTACGTGTTACTGTACTAAATTACCCAGTTTTCACTTATCCAGAAAAATTAGGTATTTCTTAGTAGAGCAATGTACAGGCCGCTACAAGTAG